TTCCCTGGATCCTCCTTCTTCCCTTTTTTAAAGATGGGCACTACATTAGCCTTTTTCCAGTCATCTGGGACCTCCCCCGATCGCCACGTGTTTTCAAAGATAATGGCCAATGGCTCTGCAATCACATCTACCAACTCCTTTTCCACCCTCGGATGCAGTGCATCCGGTCCCATGGACTTGTGCTCGTCCAGCTTTTCTGAATAGTTCTAAACCACTTCCTTCTCCACAGAGGGCTGGTCACCTCCTCCCCATGCTGTGCTGCCCACTCCAGCAGTCTGGGAGCTGACCTTGTGTGACATTATTGACATAAACTGGGACCGTATAGATCATTGTTGCAACCAAGGTCCTGTAGTGGCACCAAATCTTGCGTAAAGGGGGTCAAATGAGGTGTCTAAGACAAGGTTATGGTTTGCTGGATATGATTATGCTGTCTAGATGTGTGTATCATTTTTATAGTTAAAGTTATGAATACTGGCTCTATACTGTCTGTATTTCAAACTTGTGCTATGCTTCTGGGGAACTCTCCAGACAAGTTGGTGTCAGCTCTGCCTAGCCTGCTTGATGGCCCATTAAGGACCATCAGCTATACAAGTGAGAGAAGGCAGACACGCCTTGTGACTCAGCAAGGTATGCAGGGACATGCCTATGGACAGAACTCTGAGGCTTTTCCAGGCCATGTGATGGACAGCTTGTCTTTGGGACAAAGAAAGCAGAGACCACATGGCAAGGGAATATAAAAAGCTGCTGCAGCTCCTCCATCTTGTCTTCAATCCTGCTTCTTACCTCTGGAGGGACTTTGCTACACTGAAGCTTTGAACCAAGGACTGAAAGACCCATCCCAGCTGTGGATGTATGTACTCCAGAGACTTGATTTGAACCTGCAGTTTATTCTATCACTGCTGCAAGCCTGAACCAAGAACTTTGCTATTACTGTATGTAATTGATTCTAACCAATCCTAGCTCTCATCTATATCTTTTTCCTTTTATGAATAAACCTTTAGATTTTAGATTCTAAAGGATTGGCAACAGCGTGGTTTGTGGGTAAGATCTGATTTGTATATTGACCTGGGTCTGGGGCTTGGTCTTTTGGGATCGAGAGAACCTTTTTCTTTTACTGGAGTATTGGTTTTCAGAACCATTTGTCCCCATAACGAATGGCACTGGTGGTGATACTGGGAAACTGGACTGTCTAAGGGAATTGCTTGTGTGACTCGTGGTTAGCCAGTGGGGTAAAACCAAAGTCTTCTCCATTTGGCTGGTTTGGTTTGCCTTGGTGTGCACAGAAACCCCAGCCTTGGGCTGTAACTGCCCTGCTTTAAGCAATTTGTCCTGAATTGGCACTGTCAGTTGGGTCCTGCCAGAACCAGCATTGTTACACCTTGTTCGTGAAGACAGAGGCAAAAAAAGCATTGAGTACATTAGCTTTTTCCACATCCTCTGTCACTAGGTTGCCTCCCTCATTCAGTAAGGGGCCCACACTTTCTTTGACTTTCTTCTTGTTGCTAACATACCTGAAGAAACCCTTCTTGTTACTCTTAACATCTCTTGCTAGCTGCAACTCCAAGTGTGATTTGACCTTCCTGATTTCACTCCTGCATGCCTGAGCAATATTTTTATACTCCTCCCTGGTCATTTGTCCAATCTTCCACTTCTTGTAAGCCTCTTTTTTGTGTTTAAGATCAGCTAGGATTTCACTGTTAAGCCAAGCTGGTTGCCTGCCATATTTACTATTCTTTCGACACATCGGGATGGTTTGTTCCTGTAACCTCAATAAGGCTTCTTTAAAATACAGCCAGCTCTCCTGGACTCCTTTCCCCCTCACGTTATTCTCCCAGAGGATCCTGCCCATCAGTTCCCTGAGGGAGTCAAGGTCTGCTTTTCTGAACTCCAGGGTCCATACTCTGCAGCTCTCCTTTCTTCCTTGTGTCAGGATCCTGAACTCAACCATCTCATGGTCACTGCCTCTCAGGTTTCCATCCACTTTTGCTTCTCCTACTAATTCTTCTTGGTTTGTGAGCAGACAGACCCATTACCTTGTGCCTAAGGTCACTGAAGAACAAAGTGTGACTTCATGAAAAACATCTCTGGTCCTATTTGGGTGTAAAAATTTCAATTTTGAAACTAAGAATTTTGGAATTTAACTTGGTCAAAGTTTGAATTTCTGAATAAAAAAATATAAGATAGATAATATCCCCTCCCCCCCACTTCTCTCATATTTTGAACAAAGCCAACCCTTTCTCAAGAGGCCCATTTGTGGGTCATAAAATGGCCTGGAACAAACATCTGAATACATTATTGTGAAAATGAGTCAGATTTTTTTCCGTTTTCTTTTTTCATTTTCACATCAACTAGCTATCTAGACCCAACAATATGAAATAAAATAGCTGGGATAAGAGAGAAAAGCCAAAGAGAAATGGCGCTAACTGATTCCTTACTGACAACTTCAAACCATAACAGGATCATGCACATTTCCATGGGATGGTATCATTGAGAAAATCACTTCACAGATCAAAATTTTAAGATTAACATTTTCAAATCAAGGAAAAACACAGGAGTGAAAAGTGAGCAATGTTTTAAAACCCCAGAGCAACACTGTCAATTTTTTGAAGTTTTCTACTGAAGATTACATACCTTTACACACTTTAAGAAATTATTAAATAGCAAGTTGATTGTCATGTTACAGTTACAAGCATGATTCCTTCAGAGATTGCAAAGGGTACATGGCAGAACTGCTATTTTTTATCCTGGCTATCAGGTATTGGATGCAATACATGATCCATCAGCAGCCCTCCATTCCCAATAATATTAACTACTGAGACAGTTTCAGAGTAGCAGCCGGGTTAGTTTGTATCCGCAGAAAGAAAAGGAGGACTTGTGGCAGCATCCGATGAAGTGGGCTGTAGCTCACGAAAGCTTATGCTCAAATAAATTGGTTAGTCTCTAAGGTGCCACAAGTCCTCCTGTTCTTATTGAGACAGGCACTCGAGGGCAGTGGTTCTCAACTGTGGGTTTGGTTTAAAGGTGGTATCAGGGGGTCTGTGAGCCCTGGAGCCCCGACCCGAGCCCATAGGCGGAGTTTGGGGGAGGCACGGGGAAATTGTCTCCCCCCTGCAAACAGCAGTGCCGTAACCAGAGCTGGGGCAAACCCAGGCGTGGCTCCATCCCCACCCTCTTTCCCTGACCCCCTGAGGCTCTGGCCCCTGGCCAGGTTGGACATAGGAAGCCACAGCCAGGCAACATGGGGCCGGGATGCTGCCCTAGCTGGTACCATGGAGCACCATGGTGTGATGCTTCCCTGTCTCCTCTGTCTGCTGCCGGTACATGGGGCTGTGGCTGCTCCTTAGTTCCCAGCCCCCACCGACTGCTTGTGGGGGACCCAGCTCCAGGGCTGGCAAATCCCTCAGGGAGCAACGACCATAATGACGGGGCCCTCCCAGCACACAGCCCCTCGCTACCCTCTTCCTACACCTTGAGCTACCCCCTGCCTGCATGGAGCCCCAACTACCCCTCTCGCTGCACCCTGAACTACACCCCTGCCTGCACACAGCCCTAGTTACCCCTCTCCCTGCACTCAGAGCTACCCTCTTGCCTGCATACAGCCCCAGCTACCCCCTTCCTGCACCCTGAGCTACCCCCCGCCTGCACACAGCCCCAGCTACCCCCTCCCTGCATCCTGAACGGTTTTCAAACTTTTTGAGCTGAGCCTTCCACCCCTTTGAATTATTATTTTTGGTTGCGCACTCCCCCCTCATGCCAGACAGTTTGGGGGGCCTGCTGAGGTGACTCGGGGGTGGAGGTGGCACTGCCTCCCTGGACCCTGCCATGGGGAGCTGGCCTGAGCCTGCTCCCCAGATACAGAAGTCAAACTACGCCTATGCCCAAGCGCCCCTCCTCCCCTACAGCTGAAGCCTAAAATGGGCCCCACCCCGTGCTGGGCTCTGGCATTTTTATAGCACGTTGAGGGAGCCTCAGAAAGAAAAAGGCTGAGAATCCCTGATATGGGGGGGGGGGTGTGTGTGGGGGTGTGTTTTTCAAATAATTGAGCTATATACAATCATTGCATTCTTCGAGGTGGTTCCTGTTAGCCGCCGCACTTCTTCACAAAACATAATAACTATCAACCTATAATATCAAACTAATAACTATATTCTCTACTTTAAGACCCCTGCTGAAAATATATTAACACATAAAAAAAAAACAGCTGCATCAAAGAAAAAGAAAAAGACTTGATGTTGTGACATCAGCAAAGACCAGTAGTTTACAATTAACACATTTATCATTTTTGTTAACAAGATGACAGAACTTCCATAAGTACCCATATTTTATAAAATACGGGATGAAAGCTATTGTATTCATTAAAAAAAGCAAGAGTTTTATAATATTATATCTTGTATTTACGAAAGAAATGTCAGTAATATGCTAAGAAAATATATAAAATATATCAAAGGTTAACCACCTCTGTCTTCGCATTTCCTCTTTCTGAAAGTTCAGATAAACTGTGTAAATGAGAGGTCCCAGCAGCTGATTACTCAGTTATGTAGGTTGATTAAAGAGCACAGCAAAGTAGACAGGGAGGTCAAGAAACGTCTCTGCCAAAATGTTTAACCTCTTTGGTTTAAGACAAAGGACAAGTAAAGTATAACCTTGTTAATTTAAAATGACTGGAAGAGACTTACTGCAAATAGCCGATTTTTGCAAACTAACAAGCGAACAAAAAAAAGTATGCACTCCAGAAATAAACTTTCTTCACTTACTCTGTTACTTACACTTACTTACACTGTTTCGTTCAACTTATTTAGGATCACACTTATAGCATATTCATAAATGTACAATAGAATATTTTGTAAAAATAGTGAAGGCCTTGGTAATGTGAAAATTCACTACAGCCCTTGGCTTTTTAATTTTGGCTAAGAGGTGGCACTTTTTATACAGATTCTGAAGTGAGCAAATTATTGAGGTTCTATCGTATACAATTCAGAATAAGGAAAGGGCTCACTCACCACATTGTAATAGCTTTTGCTAATTGCAGACGTATCAAAACCTTTGGGAGGACTCTTCAGTGTTCCTGATTTGGGGGAGACTGGTTTTTCTGAAATGTAAAATGTTTTGTCAGTGGGATGCAATTTCATATTTCAACGCTAGAGGTCAAACAAGCTGCTCTAAGATCACTGAAATGAGATACAGTGGAAACAAAAATGCTTTCCTGAGAAATGTACAGAGCTGTGTTAAAGTCAAGTCTTACATACTAATACAGGATCAAAATGGTGTATATATTCACAAAAAATGAAATTCTTCCAGAGCCACTGAAGTCAATGGCAAAACTCCCATTAACTTCATTGGGACCAGGATTTCAGCCAATCAGAATAACTTGACCAAAATATCTTTTGAAAAGTGAACACATTATCACAGGCAGGCTGTGATTTTAAAATGAGATATTTGCAGTAGTCCAGAAGGTGTTATATGTTTAGACAAAAGCAGTAAATTACTTTTGCTTTCACTAAATTAAAATGGATAAAAGCAAAATCCACGAAAAAGGTCTAACTTTACTGTACTTGTAGTTTGTAGAAATAAAATATAAAAAATTGTACAAGTTAGTACAGAAATAAAACGATTTACCAGATGATCTTCTGGAATATCAATTACACTTATTATCTATGTAAAACAAATGCCTCTGCGCTGAAAACAATTTCTCCATCAACACAGAATATGTGCAATTTTCCAAAAACAAACAAAAAACAAAACAAAGAAAACCCCAACCAACATTCCCTGAAAATGCAACCCTGTAAAAAGAATCTATTCCTCAATTATGCTCTCTGTGGAGAGACAACATATGTCTGCAAGATTAAAATGACTGTCCTGACAGCTTGCAGCACAAGACCGAATCACTTAATGAGCTGTTCTGAGAGTTGCCTCTCTCAGCAGTACATATAGACACAAAATAAACACTCCCAACCCTCCTTCCACCTCCTCTTATTTAACACTAGTGGGATGCAAGAATTTCAAATGTAAAGCTGCTCTCTGCTGAATCAGAAGATGGGATATACAGTATATAGAGTGTCCTCCTGACCTCGTGCACATGACTGAAGTAACAGATCTGAATGAGCGCACTCTTTTGGCAATTGCCAATTATACTATAAAAAGGCTTTATTCATCTGGACATTATGCTCCATTCACTTCATATTAAAACAGACTGGTTTCATAGGCAGACTTCAGACAAGTACCTTAGTTACGAATACCAGATTGTCTGAGATGAACTGTAGTAGGATCAAAACACTCCTACTGAAAATCTAGGCATGCCTCTATTTTGAAGACAAACTCTTCTGTTCACTCAAGCTTTAACTCATAAATATATTTTATTTAAAATTTAACTTTAATTCTGGTGAGTTGATTTTTAAGAATCTGGGGTGAGACTCTCAGGTGCAGAGCAGCACCTTACATCACATGAGGAATCTGCCATTGAGTTGGATAAACCAGTCATGGGAGGGGGATTCTCCGGTGGCTCTTTTGCCAATCCCCATCACACTGCCAACCGGGAGGAAGTTTCCAGAGGAAAAGGGGTGTGGGCCAGGGCAGGCCATGCTGCACCAATACCCAGCTGTGGCTTTGGGGCTGGACAGCAGCTGTTAATTTATAGCCATCCACAGGCTGCCATGCATTATTCTCAGGGCCTGGCCATGCACACAGCATCCCCAGGATTAGGCTGAGTGAAGAGGTGATGAGATACTCTTTTGCCTTCACACCCCACAGCTGCCTTGTGCACGCTTTGGCCTGACCGCAGGATTTGGTGCAAGTGATTGATAGCTTTGTCCCTCAAAACTTTCTTTGCTCTGACATCAGGGAAACATGGATACATTGCTGAGGAGTAATTCCAGAGAATAGCACAACCATGCAGAGACAAAATCAGAAAAGCTAAGGCACCAAATGAGTTATTGCCTTGTATGTCCCTTACCAGGTGTAAGAGGAGGTTCTTTAAATACATTAGAAGCAAGAGAGGGATGAAGGAAAGTATAGGTCCTTCTAGTTAACAGCGGAGAGCTAACAACAGATAATAACATCAAGAAGGTTGAGGTGTTTAATGCCTATTTTGCTTCAGTCTTTGCTAAAAAGGTTAATGGCGACCAGACACTCAACACAATATTAACAATAAGGGGGAAGGAACATACCTCAAAATAGGGGAGAACAGGTTAAAGAATATTTAGATGAGTTAGATGAAGTCAGAAATTCATCCTAGGGTAGTTAAAGAACTAGCTGAAGCAACCTCTGAACTATTAGCAATCATCTTCGAGAACTCACAGAAGATGGGTGAGGTTCCAGAAGACTAGAAAAGGGCAAACATAGTAGCTAGCTTTAAAAGGGGGAACGAAGAGGACCCAGGGAATTACAGACCAGTCAGCCCAGATACTGGAACAAACTATTCAACAATAAGTATCTAAGCAACTAGAGGAGAATAGGACTATAAGGTCAAGGACAAATTATACCAAACCAACATAATTTTCTTCTTTCACGGGGTTACAGGTCTAGTAGATGGGAGAAGCAATAGATATGATAGATCTTGATTTTAGTACAGCTTTTGACACAGTCCCACATGACATTCTTATAAGCAAACTAAGGAAATTGAATCCAGATGAAATTACTATAAGGTGAGTGTACAACTGGTTGAAAGACTATATTCAAATATCAATGATTCGCTGTCAAACTGGGAGGACATATCTAGTGGTCGTCTTGCAGGGGTCAGTCCTGAGTCTGGTACTCTTCAATACTTTCATTAATTACTTGGATAACGGAGTGGAAAACCTGCTTATAAAATGTGCAGATGACACCAAGCTGGGAGAGGCTGCAAGCACTCAGGAAGAGAGGATTAGAATTCAAAAGGACAATGACAAATTGGAGAATTGGTCTGAATTCAACAAGATGAAATTTAAGAAAGATAAATGCAATGTACCATACTTAGAAAGGAAAAATCAATGCACAACTACAAAATGGGGAATACACAGACTAGGCTTCAGTGCGGGGTGGTAGGCTGTAGTGACTGTGAAATCCTAACAAAACGTCACATCCACCACAATCTCACCACTGCCGAGAGGACAGTTATACAGTCTCTGAAATCCAACCGCTGATAGCGATCAGCAGATAAAGGGGGCACCATCGTGCTCCCAACAGTGCTGACTACGTCAACAAGTCCAACCAACAACTCCCTCCGTGTACATCTACACTGCAATAAAAGACCCACAACATGGCCACAGCTGGCCCAGGTCAGCTGACTCAGGCTCATGGGACTCAGGCTGTGGGGCTCCAGCCCAAACATCTACACTACTATTTTTTGCCACAGAGTCCGATCCCTGCGAGCTCGAGTCAACAGACCCGGGCTCTGAGACTTGCTGCCATGGATTTTTTAATCTAGTGTAGACATATCTCCGACACCACTTCCTATAAAGAACTCAACGAAAATCCCACACCACAATGCATCCAAGAATTTGAGGATATCATCACATCTTTCTCCAAAGAACTCCAAGAGAAACTCTACAACCTCGTCCCCCATGAACCTACCCCAGGGGCCTTCTACTGGCTTCCCAAGATACACAAACAAGGGAACCCAAGCAAACCTATCACATCTGGCCACAGTACCTTACTGAAGGAACACTGGGACTCAGACACCATTCACCACACAAAGGACCAGCTTCCTCCAGGACACAACCAGCCTCCTCTAGAAACACCGCAACATTAACAACCCCCGCTCAGAACATCATCCTCGCCACTGTGTATGTCACTTCCCTATACACCAACATCCCTCACAATGACAGCATTGCTGCCTGCCTCAAACATCTACAAGACAACAGACAACACTCACATATGCAGCCCAAACACATTTCATCCTCACCCATAACAACTTTACAAGCAACAACGAACACTTTGTCCAAACCATGGGAACAACCATGGGTACTAAGATGGCTCCCCGATATGCCAGCCTCTTCATAGGCCACCTTGAGAAAGAATTTCTGAAAAACACCACTGTGAAACCAATGATACACCCGAGATAAATCGATGATATTTTCATCCTCTGGACAAAGGACCTAAACTCCCTCAGAGATTTCCACTGCAACTTCAGGAACCAGCACCTGTCTATCAAACTCTTTTTAAAACCTTTCCACACTAGCATCAACTTCCTAGACACCATGATCAGCTTCAACAATAGAACCCAGCAGACAACTATATACAAGAAACCAACGGATCACCACACCTACCTCCACAGATTCAGTAACCACCCCAAACACACCAAGAAATCGGTTATCTACAGCCAGGCACTCAGATAGCACAGAATATGGGCAAGGATAAAATCCAGGATACACTCCTTAGCACACTTAAAACTGCCTTCCCAAAACAAGGGCATTCCACCAGAGAAGTAGATCACATCATGGAGCAGGTTCACCCAAACACCCTGGGAGAATCTACTTCCATGCAGGGGGGAAGAAAAAAAATGGCTGCACATCCTTAGTTGTTAACTATCACCCCATCCTGAAACCCACACAAGGTCTCATTACACAATTACAATCCATATTCAATGGGGACCACATCCTGAAAGACATCTTTCCCAAACCTCCTCTTCTGGCCTTCAAACAATGTCCCCAGCTTGCCAAGCTTGTCATCAGAAGCAAGCTCCCCACTGACCAGGACACACCAACTCAAAGGGGCACCAGAGCCCGACAGAACAGATGCAAAAGCTGCAGACATATCTCCACTGTTATGATACTCAATACTCCCCCACCACACACCTTCCAAGATCCATGGGTCCTACACATGCCTCTCACAACATGTGGTGTACCTCATGCAGTGCATCTAATGCCCCAACAACTCTGCGGGCGAAACCAGACAATCACTTAAATGAACTTACACAGAAAAATGATAAAAGACAAAATCATATCACATCACACGGGGTTTGAACACTTCACAAAGCAATCACTCTATATCTAACCTCTCAGCCCCTATGCTCAAAGAAAATCTGCACAACACCTTCAAAAACAAGCCTGGGAACTCAAATTCATAACTTTGTTACATACTAAAAATCATGGATTTAATAAAGATGCTGAATTT